TGCTCTCGATGAAGGCAGAGCCGATAGAGAAATGACCTGCGCTCTGAAAGGCGTGCCAATCACTTTAGGAACATAGCCGTGTCTAGGTTTGAGGATGACTTTTGAGTCATTTGGCCCGAACTCAAGACACGCAGCGCTGACGGACAGCGCGTGTAAGTCACCCACACGTTTAACTGATGACAGAGCAGTCAGAAAAACGGTTTTGAGTGATAGGTACTTTAACTCCACGGAATCTAGTGGTTCAAAGGGAAAAGCTTTCAGGGCCTCGAGGACCAAAGAAAGATCCCACATAGGAACCAACGGGGGGCGCGGAGGGTTCATCCTTCTGGCTCCTCTAAGGAAGCGAATGACAAGCTCATTTTTCCCTAGCGACTGGCCGTGCGTCGACTCAGCGAACGCAGCAACGGCCGCCACGTAAACTTTAAGCGTGGATGGGGACCTTCCCTTATCCAACAGCTCTTGTAGGAAACTGAGCAGCCGCGAGACCCCACATGTCCGTGGATCCAGATTTTTATTGGTGCACCATTTGGAGAACACAGACCATTTAGACGCGTAAAGCTTTCTGGTAGAGGGAGCTCTAGACTGCGTGATCGTGTTCATCACTCCTTCTGGCAGGGCAACAGGTACCCGTTGATCAACCATACGTGCAGAGACCAGCGCTCTGGATGGGGATGCCAGATCATCAGCATCAGCTCCGGGAACCAAGTCTGATTCTCCCAACGCGGGGCTATAAGGAGCACCGAGTGGCGCGTTTCCCTGATCCTCTTGATTACCTGTGGTAGCAGAGAGATCGGAGGGAAGGCATACAGCGGGCGGCTGGGCCAGATTTGGGCTAGCGCGTCCTCGCTCTTTGAAAAAAAACATCGGGCAGTGAGCGTTGTCTTTTGACGCAAACAGGTCGACTTCCGCTTTGCCGAATAGGCGCCATAGTTTCTGGACTGTTTGGGGGTGCAGGGACCATTCTCCTGGGGGAACGTTGTCCCTGGATAGTTTGTCTGGGCCGTCGTTCAGGTGGCCTGGCACATGCGCAGCTCTCAGCGAGCGCAGGTGACGCTGAGACCACATGAGAAGGCGCTCTGTCAGATCGCAGAGGTTCCTGGATCTGACCCCGCCCTGATGGTTCACGTAGGACACCACTGACATGTTTTCTGAACGGACTAGAACATGGTGGTCCTGTATGAGCGGGAGGAAGCGCTTGAGCGCGTTCTCGACCGCTATCATTTCCAGACAGTTTATGTGAAGGAGCTTCTCCTGGTCTGACCACAGGCCAAAGGCCGGTCTGCCCTCGAAGAGAGCGCCCCAACCTGAGTTGGACGCATCTGTCGAGATGACCTTTCGATATGAGACAGCTCCCATCATCACTCCCCGTTGATACCAGTCGGCCGCTAAACATGGCTGCAGAGCCGTGATGCAGGTCTGAGTCACTCTGATTCGTTCGCGGCCAGAGGCCCAAGCTCCGCGAGACGCTCGAGCGTTCAGCCAGCGCTGAAGCGGGCGCATGCGCAGTAAGCCCAGCTGAAGCACTGCTGCAGCCGAGGCCATACAGCCCAGCATCCTCTGGAATGTCTTCAGAGGGATGCTGCTGCCCTTCTGGAAAGACGCGGCCAGGTGTCGAACACGGCGCGCGTGCTGTGTCGATAAACGAGCCGTCATAGCCACAGAGTCCAGTTCTATCCCTAGAAAGGAAATTGACTGACTGGGCAGTAATGAGCTCTTGGTCCAGTTGACCGTGAGACCCAAGGTTTCCAGGTGGCTGAGGAGCATAGTTCTGTGAGATAGCAGTTCTATCTCTGACTGTGCTAAAATCAACCAGTCGTCCAGATAGTTCATGATTCGCAACCCCTGATTTCTCAAGGGGGCGAGAGCCGCATCCATGCACTTCGTAAATGTACGGGGTGCTAGAGACAGGCCGAACGGCAGGACGGTGTATTGATATACCTGACCGTCGAAGGCGAATCTCAAGAATGGCCTGTGACGGGGTATTATCTGAATCTGGAAATAGGCATCTTTCAGATCGAGAGAAATAAACCAGTCCCTCGGGCGAACATGCGCGAGGATTTTTCTGGTCGTAAGCATTTTGAACGGTCTTTTCATAAGCACTTTGTTCAAATGTCTCAGATCTAAGATGGGTCTGAGGGCTTCGTCCTTCTTGGGTATGAGGAAATAACGGCTGTAAAAGCCCGACTCGCTCAGAGAAGGCGGTACCAATTCTATAGCCCCTTTGCACAGCAGCTTCGCTATTTCTGCGCGGAGTAGATGTGCTACTTCCGCATTCACAGTTGTCGCGGTCCGTGCTTGACAGCGCGGGGGGGCGGCGAGTGAACTGTAGTGAATAGCCATGCCTTATTGTGCTCAGCACCCATTCTGAAACCCCTGGATAGCTTCCCATGCTTTTATATGTGTAGCTAGGGGGCGAATGGTCTCCGGGTTCTGATCGCGCGCTCTCGGTGCTTGGAGGCAGCAGCTCGCTGACAGCCGTGACAGGCTGATATGTGTGTGGCGTCCCGATAGCCATGAATGGGGAGCGCACCTTTACCACTTTGTGATGCGCGAGCCGAGCCCTGGGCAGAGTGTTTATTAGTAAGCGTGAGCGCGTTTGCGCGGGCACGAGACTTACATGTAGGTTTGACGCCCCGATCGTTTTTGATGGGGAGCGTCTTATAATCGCCCTGCATTTTGTGACAACTCTTAAATGCACGGGCGACGCTCGGGGAGAGGCATGTGTCAGTAAGCGTGAGCGCTCGTGGGCGGGCACGTGACTTACGTTCATAACCTGACTGATATGAGTCTTTAGAGGCCGTGTAACAGAGCGGGCAGAGAGTGGGCACAGACCTGTGGACACATTTCTTGTATTCAACACTCGAGCGGCTTTTGCCTGCTTTATGAGAGTGGGCTCTGTGAGTGACACGGGGAGTGTTGTGCTTGTGTGTAGGGGTGAACACTGGGGCGTGGGCACTTTCTCTACACTTAAAACACAATCGGCATGAGCCGGATAACCAGAATTTATACTCTTTTTTAGATTTCTCTGAGTCGCCGTGAAAACGGCGTTTGTGTGCAGGCGAGAGGGTAGTGTTACCAGCTCGTTGGCTGCTAAATGAACCACTGCAGTAGCCTGTAAAGAGGGGACTGACAGGGAAATGAGCTTCGACGGCGGTCCGGCCGCAGCGGGACTCAAGCCTAGCCAGCCTTCGCAGCGACGTCAGGGCGGCCGCCCTAGGTCGCGCTCGGACAGCCGTCACAGACCGCCGCCCCCCAGAGGAAGCCCGAGCACGCGAAATCTTCCTAGCAACTGCAAGAGGAAGAAAGAGACGCTTTCTTCCTCTTGCAGTTGCTGGACGCTGAGTGGTGGCTCGTGCAGGCGGCTGGTCACGTGAACGGCCTGAATAGGAACTCGAGCGTCGAGGCAGAAAGAGGTTCATGGCCTGCGTGGTCTTCTGTACCTCGGAGAAACGGTCGACGATCCCGCTCAGCGCTGGGCCAAAGAGATCAGTGGGGGAGAGAGGCGCGTTGAGGAAGGTGGCGCGCTCAGATTCCCTCATGTCAGCAAGAGTTAACCAAAGGTGCCTTTCCGTGACGGTTAACGCGGCCATAGACCTCCCCATGGCTTGAGCTGCGGTCTTGGTCGCGCGAAGTGAGAGATCCGTCGCGCTCCTCAAGTCAGTAACAACAGCTGGATCCCGGCCCTTCTCGTCCCATTCACGGAGGAGGTCGGCTTGCAGGATTTGAAGCACAGCCATCGAGTGCAGAGCGGACGCGGCCTGTCCGGCGGCGGTGTATGCGCGGCCGACAAGGGCGGATGTGGCTCTGCAGGCTTTAGACGGGAGGGCAGACCTTGAGCGCCATCTCGCGGAGGGCGGACAAAGGTGCGCTGCGACCGCCTCTTCCACAGGAGGAATGGCACAATATCCCCTCTCGGCGGCGCCGTCCACTTGGGAGAGCGAGGCGGAGACGTGGGACTGAAGCCTGGTGGAAAATGGTGAATTCCACGACTTAGCCAGTTCCGTGTGGAGTTCAGGCAGAAAAGGGGCGGACCTGGCTGTGGGCGCTTGACGGCGGCGACTCTGGAGAAAACAGCCGTCGAGCCTGTTGGGTGCGGGCTCCTTCGGCGGCGACCACTCGAGCCCGAGTCGTTCGACAGCCTGAGACAGGAGGCGCATCAGCTCGGCGTCCACTCCAGCACGGGTCCGGCCTGATTCCTGGATCGAGGAAGAGGAGGAGCGTTGAGAGCCCGACCATTCCTCGCTGTCCGATGCCAGGACGGAACAGCAATCCCTTGTGGCGTTTCCATCGGCCTCGTCATCAGACACGATGGCAGCGCGGCTCGGAGGCGGCGGCTGCGCGTCCGTGAGGAGAGGCGGAGAAGGTGAGAGCGAGGCTCGAGGGAGGGAATCCGGCGAGCGCGTCGCTGTGGCCACAGGCTCCGGCGGCCTTTGAGAACAGCGCTTCTTCTTGCGCGGTCCTGCAAAGGGCGGAGTGGGAGGGTTGAACACTTCGAGTCGAGCCCGCAGGGTCGACATCGGAAGCGCTTCGCAGTGCTCGCAGCCCCCTGACGAGAGGGCGAGAGCTGCGTGTTCCTGGCCCAGGCAGAGAGCGCAGATAACGTGGCGGTCTCCATCGCTGAGCGGGGCTCTGCACGAGCCGCAGGATGTGCGAGGCATCTTGAAAAAGACAAGGGGGGGGGGGGGGGGGGGGGACAATCCGTCCCCTCAGTTTATAAACTGTACTCACGAATTCTTAAACTGTTCCCTCGGTTTAACATCGTGCCCACGGATTAATAAACTGTACCCACGAGTTCCTAATCCGTGCTCTCAGATTTGTAAACCGTGCCATCAGTTTTTGCAATCTGTACCCACAAATTCATAAACCGTGCCCACGCTTTCGCAATCCGTATTTACGGGTTTGTAATCCGTACTACTCACTGATTTGTGGCCCCTCCCCCAGTCTGTGCCGCATGATTCAACCAGGCCTCCTGTTTTGCATTGTGTTTAAAGGTGAACTAAGTAACTTTTTTACCTTAACCGAACAGCTTTGGAGTCATTGTAATGTTTATATTACTGATTTCGTGTTGAATGGTGGTCGTCTCGCACCCCCCTGGTGCCTGTGAGCCGCAAAACCACCCTTGCAACTTTGGGCCGGCGGGCCGCCGACCTCAGTGTTAGGAAGTATCGTGTGATATCAGGTCTCACGAGGTAACGAATTGCTTTACGGCACTGCACGCGTACACGCCCCCATCCATCCAGTATCCGGCTAGCTATAAGAAAAAGGTAACGCTAGATATTGAATTCTTCAAGTTTTCGTAATGGCTGATGTAAAAAAGAAGAAGAAAGCTCGGAAATCTTTGTCAGTGGACCAAAGAAAGAGGAAACGGGAGACTGACCGAGCGAGAAGTCTAGAGTTAATATTGGACCGGCTTTTTCAGAATGGAGAGAACTGAAAGAAAGCGAAGCCTGCAAAACCGATGCTGACCTGGCCTTCTTGCTGTTGCACTTGTAAGTATCTTTAGAATAAACTGTGTTTAATGTTTGTATTTCTTGTAATTGTGACCTCAGGATGTTTGCTATTGTCTGTTTAGGTTTTTATTATGGTCGCTGTCTGTTACGGGCTTACTAGTACGCTAGATACTGTAAATTAGATGTTAGCATTTTCATTAGTAAACAAACGTGTTTGTTTTCTGTAGTGTTTTGTCCGTTCCTCTATCAGGTTTTATTTGTGTTACTCATATCGCCTATAAATCGATATGAAATTCTACAAATTATGCTTTAGTTTAGCTTGTCGTCTGCCTCAGAATTAGTAACGTTATATGTTACCGTGCTGACTTGACATATAATACATAAACCGACACTAGAGCTGCTAGCTAATAATGCAAATTTGTATATTGATTTACCCACATATACACAAACAGAACTGTAAGTAAACGAGAAATTTCATTGCAACTTCACACATGCAACTCCATCTGTGCTAGTTTGACCTTGTGTATAAATGACGTTGATAAAAGATTGATAATTTTTTTTTTCTTTTTAGCTACAAGTGTTGGCAAGTGTCATCAACTCCGAGTAAGGGGCACCCCAGACCACCACTACCACCGGTCTCAAGCTTCACGGAGGAATCTGACCGTGATCAGTATGTTCCTATCTAATAGCTTTACTAAAACTAGCTTTCATGGCTTTGCACATCTATAAATTACCATATTTTCAAACAGTGATGTAGCCATTCCTGAGCTTGGTGTTCGTCCACTAATTTGAGAGGGAGAAGTTGGTGCTTTGGAGTCAAGGTGAGTGTCTTTCATTGGGTCATGTTTTTTTTTTTAACCTATATTCCTATATAATTGGTGTATGTTCACATATATTTATTTGTTGATTGTAGCATGCACTCCATGGACATTACTGAAGAAAATTGTGACTCTCCAGATGAGGGGGGTGGTGATTTTTTTAGGAGAACCTTGTAAGTATTTCACAGCAATGTTTCATATACTCACACTGATCTGTCCCTCCAATCTAAGATGTATGTTGTTTTTCACACAGCATAGAGATGGATGATTTTTATGGGGACCCTAATAATTTGAACTTGGAAGACGGGGACAGCTCGGACGATGATTTTTCCCTTCTCTTCATCTACGGTATTTTACTTGCTGTAAATTTTGTGTTGAAATAATGCTGCCTCATTCATTCTTTCAAACACCTTACATATGAAACTGAATGATGAACAATATTTGAACAAGTCAATTTTACATTTGTTCATATAATGAAGTACTATATCATCAATGTACTCAAAGTTTGTCTCTTTACACAGGACTGTTAGCGGCAAAGCACATGATTTGACAGAAATATCTATGGATGAGGCTGTGCTTGATTTTGAAATGCCGGATCCTCCAGATGAGGAAATAGAGAAATTATCTGAGCAGCATAAAGTTGTTTCTGAGGACGACCTTGTTGGTAAAAAAGCCAACATCACATATAATGACAACCTCCATGCACTGGCCATGTACTTGAGAATTACAACAGAAAAGTGCAACCACAGGGACAAGTTGTCTGGACCATGCCTTGGTGCTCAGCCATTCCGGGTGACACTGAAACCACGGGGTACCGGAGTCGTCATGGAATGGGTAAGATTATTGTGTGAGCGACTAACCTCCTCAATGTTTGTCGGCCCAATCCTCATATCCCATTTGAAAACTGTATGGGGTCAGCTGATGTTTATCAGTTCAGCTGTGTGAATTGGCATACCTATGGCATAGCAGTTGGGGTAAAAAAGCTTAAAAAAATTGGTTGTATTGTAGCAAAACTATCTTTTAATAAAATTTTAATGTCTTTTCATTAGATATGCTCATTCGGACACATGGTGTGGCGTTGGAATTCCCAGCCAACACTGAAATTCGGTATGCAGTCTGGTGATTTCATGTTGTCTATGAACGTTCTCCTGTCTGGAAATAACTACTGAAAAGTGCCATGCTTTTTAAATTCATGAACATGGGGATGGTTGCTGAGAGCACATTCTTCAGAATTCAAGACTCCTACTGTATTGAGCCAGTTCAGGAGCACTGGGAAGCAACTAGGGCTGAAGTCATAGATTGTCTACGTCTAAAGGACCATGTTGTTGTCTTGGGTGAGTTTACTTTAAATATAACCTCAATTACATGTTTGTGATTAGCTATAAATTAACAATTAAATCTCGAAATTATAAATTAATGTCTGTTTGCTCTATTCACTAGGTGATGGCAGAATGGACTCTCCTGGTAGGTTTTGTAGTATAAATTGTTTTAGTAGTAGGATTAACAATGTTCACATGCTGACAGATTTATTTATTATGCAGGTCACTGTGCACAGTACTGTACGTATACGACCATTGAACAGGATTCCAGAGACATTGTGCACATTGTCTCTGTTGACAAATGTGAGACCAACCGGAATTTTGTAATCATGGAGAGGGAGTGTTTTGTAAGGACTATGGATGCACTGCTTGCAGAAATAAAAATAAAAGAAGTGGTCACTGATGCCCACTCACAGATCACTGCCTTGCTGAGTAAGAACTTAGTATGACTTATTACTATTATATGCAGAACAGATTTGCATCATACCTAAGTTGTAAACTGTTTTTTTTTTTTTTTTTACAGATCCAGAGCGTGGGAAATACAGGGCTTGGGGTATCCACCATTCCCTGGATATTTGGCATGCTGCTAAAAGTTTAAGCAAGAAACTTCGACGGGTAAGCTTATATCCCCCCAAAAAAATGTATACCGTGATTAACCTTCAACATGTTGGTTTGTCCTAATCATGGTATAGACATAACATGATATAAGACATATGTTTGAAAGTTAAATATTTACATTGTTATTTTAATCAGGCTGGATCAATAAAGAACCAAACTGGAATTCTGGTGTGGATAAAAGACATTGTAAATCACTTCTGGTATTGCAGCAAACAAGCCGCAAACGAAGAGCATTTCAAGGTATGTTATTTGAATTAATTTTGTCATATTGACTCATATAGTTTGTGCCTGCATAATTTATTCCTTTTGTACAGATGATGTGGGTTGGTGTGCTACACCATGTAAGCAACGAGCATTCGTGGGCAAGTGGCTTTTGTGAGCATGAACCTCTTGAAGAGGGCAGTGAGAATAAGCCCTGGATCATTTCAGGTAATATCAAACAGACAATTAATATTTAGGATATAGTGCCCTGTAAGGATGCAGTCATTTTACTCCCAATGATGTGATGTGAATACAGGTTCTGCGGCTCACAAGGCACTAACCGCCATCGTGCTGGAGAAAAGGTGGTTGACACAGGTGAAGAAGTTTATAAACTTCAGGTAAGCATCTACATTCAAAATAGCCTTATTTTATGAGCAGATTGGATGGTTATTCATGTTTTTTTTTTTTCTATTTCCCACACAGGACCACATCAGACCTGGAAAGCTTCCAAAACCACATTTTAATGTATGCCGCAAAGTGCATGTCATACACGCCTTTTATTTACAAGACCCGGACTTTGCTTGCAGCTATCGACTACAACAAGCATAACCGACGGCTGCCAGCACGCAATCAGGAGGGACACAAGATGTAAGTTGTAACTTATATATATATATATAAAACCTGTCTTTTGATAACAATCTTTTTATAAATAATTCATATTAAAGGCTTATTTTATCTACAGGTACCGGCGGTCGTACAATAAAAAATCAAAGACTTGGGGTGTGTACACAGTGAAGGAAAAAAAAACAATACTCCTACATCCCAGACATACAGAGAGCCATTCTGTCCAGGAGGTTGAGAAGTGGTACCAGCCTTCCCAGAAATGTTTCACTTAGGCCTGACGACCCAAGACGGCTGGGTCTTCTTGCTTCAGTACAGCCACCACCCACTCACGAACTTGTAAGAGGACACATAGCGAGAGGAAACATAGTGTCCGAAAACCCACAAGACTAACGGAACTGCAATCTTCTATACAGAAATTTATAGATGAAAATATGTCATGCAGCACTGGCAATTATGTTTGATTCTTGTAATTTATTATAATAAATATATTTTATAAGAAAAAGTGTGTAATTGAATAACTGAAACACAACAAAGTTGAGGCAAACATATTTATTTAAAATGGTTGAAAAGATAACTATTTACAATAATGGCAATATAATCAATCTAAAGTATTATATTTACTCTAAGCGGCGCACCCTGTAGCCAGTGTAGCCCTGGGATCAGGAAATGTGTCCCTGATCTTCCACACACAGCAACTTGGTATAACCACCCTATTGCCCACACCCAGGCGACCATGCTGCCACAAGACAAACTGTCTATAGGCCGCATGTCGAAATTGTCTCTGCTCGAGTCCGGGCTCCGGGTTGTCCGAAAGTGCAAAAATGTCATTCCATGCAGCTCGGGCCAGCCGCAACACACCTTCATCTAAAATGTAATATTGCATGTATGCCATCTGACTAATGCAATGTTGCGGGGATTGGCGACAGCACACTCTTTCAATATCTGTGTCCATCTCCCTGCAATTTTGGCAAGTGCACCAGTGGAGAGCCGCTGGGTCTGGGACTGGATCAGGATGTGGGGGTACCTCCATTAATGATATTACATCAAATAAAATTCCTGGGGTCCTGTTCAAAATCTTTTCAAGCAATTTTTCTTTTTGTCCAATCTCTAGATTATGAAGTTTTTCCTAAAAAAAACAAAAGTTTTTTTATTGTAAAATGTTTATTGCAAAATGCAGTGTATCTGAATTATTACTTTCTTGTCTGGTAAAAAAAACAACCTTCATTTCAGCCATGCGCCGCTCCTGCAGCTCCTTCATCCTCCTCTGGTTATCTTGGTCAAGATCCTTCGATTGATCTTGTAATCTTACTGATTACGTTTGGCAACACTATAAAAATATACACTATCTCCACTATACAAATATACACTATCTCAACATTTATATGATATTGTTCTGAGAATCATACATACCTCAGTGGACATGGTTCCGTTCTCTCACGAGAGTATCCCTCGTACTGCGTAATAGCTTACGCTAGGGGAAAACCTCTTTTCCACGAGATATTGAAGCCAAAAATTATCCTTAATTTTTTATTAATGTAAAACGCTTTGCAGCAGCAAGCAGACACAGGCGAGACAGCTCGCGCGCCTATTGGCTGCTCTTGCGGCAAATGCAGCAGCCTATCGAGAGAGACTCTGCGTGACGTAATGACCAATGGGGGCAATTCGCGCCCATATCGTCACGTCCCGCCAGAAAGGGCGTGGTCTCACTCTATAAATATGCTCGTTAGGCTGGTACAAGCTGATTTTCATCTCTTCAGCGAAGCACACGCATCGCTGGATCCGGAGTGAGAAGCCGCGCCGTCGAAGCAAGCTTTTCAGCGGGACGAGCTCTGGAGTCGCTGGCCTCGCCGCCTTCAACTGCCGTACCTGCTGCGCTTTCCGGCGTTCTATATCCTTTATATCACTTTGTATCCTTACTCTGCTGAGAGTGTTTGCTCGCTTACTTGACGCGACTCACACTTCTGATCACAAAAGAGCTGCGTCTTTTTAAAGATGCATTTGTTTTTGTTTTGTTTTTCTGTTTCAAGTTTAAAAAAATTATAATTTTCCCCATACCATGACAATTGTAAATATGCACATTTCACATAAAAATTGTGTCAGAGTGACTTTACTTATCTTTTCGTTCAAAAACGTTAATTTTGTATTTACGCAGTGCAGCTACTTCTGTACATTACATTTGTCCTAAGTAGCATGAGATTTCGACCAGTCAGGAGTAGCCTATAGCAAATCAGTTCCTGCAACAACACATCCCATCTGCACCAGGAGCTGTGACAGCTGTTGAAGGTCAGAGGTGACAGGTTAACACTTTGAGGTTCGTATGACTTTCTCATTAAATAGAAAAATGTTTTTAATGTTAGATAACTAATAACTAGCTAGCTAGTTGACTATGGAAAAAAAAAAAACCTTAGAGGGAAAACCTCTTTTCTCGAGAATACTGAAGCCAAAAATTATCCTTATAATTTGTATTAATTTAAAACGCACTTGCTGCAGCTAGCAGACCTAGGCGAGGCAGCTCGCGCGCCTATTGGCTGCTCTGCGGCAACTGCTGCAACCTATCGAGGGACTGCTCGTGACGTAAGCACCAATGAGGGCGCCGGCGCCCTCAGTCGTCATGTCCCGCGCGAATGGGCGTGGCTTATGCCTATTCGCATCATGACTTGAAGTCAAAGGCCTATTTTTTGGGCTTAACCTCCCTACTAAATGGAACAGCGGTGTTGTTGATCGCTTCACTCAGCACGCTCTGGCTACTCCGGTTATCTCTTTATGTATATTTTAGGCAACAATAAAACGAAATATGCTTCAACTCTGTCTCTTTTCGTCAACAATAAAACAAAATATGTTATAAAACACCACTCTGCCTCTTTTAATAATAATAATAATAATACATCACACTTGTATAGCGCTTTTCTGGACACTCAAAGACGCTTCACATGGAGAATAAAACAAAACAAAACAAAAACAAAACAAAAAGGGGATTTTAAGGAAAAGCTAAAGCAATTTTTTTTTTCATAAAAAAAATATATCTTAAACATAGCCTATTAGCCTAATGGCCACACAAATGTGGTTCAGGCAATGCGTACATTGATTATCTTTACTGCATATATTTATAACAACATGAAATATAAAACACAACCCTGCTTCTTTTTGATTTCAAGCCAGAGCTCGATAGGATGCTCCTTGGTTTTCACTTTCATCGACTGTAGCGAAACCAGATGGTAGCACAAGCACGGCAGGGTTACGCAACACTCGTTCCCTCTTCTAGAGAGAACCGAGGTTACGTTAGTAACCGAGACGTTCTCTTACGAGAGTACTCTTGTGTTGCATAAGCTAGCTTATGCTACGGGAACCCAATTTAAAACGCTGTGTGTGTTAAATCTACCACAACACTCACCCAAGGGCGAGCGCCCTGAGCTCATATGCTGGGTTTCCCGCAGCACTTTGAAACTAAGGCGGCCGCCTAAGCAACACACGCCTGCCGCCTTAACTACGTCGTCAAAAAAAATTATATGAGCGATATCCGCCGTGTTACTCTGTCCTGTTTTCTCCCTTTCAATCTTTAAATATGTGATAAGCCTTCGTGTTCACTTCAGTCTTGTTATCAGCGCGTTCTTCCGCAGCGGCGCCGAACACGTCAGAACAAACAGAAGACAGGGTGGTGTTTGTGTGTGTTCATCTGAGCCTCATTGGTCTGACACTGCTCATCAATGTCGGAATATTTGAGATGACCAATCAAATCAAAGTAGGCGGGCTTTATGTTCACAGCGCGAATTTTAGCAGAGCGAAATTTAGACAGTAAATTTAGACAGTAAAGGAGCGACTCGACGCGCTTCAGTTTACTGTGGTCAAGTGCGAAATAAGATGTAAGTTGCTAAACTAAACATTTCCTATTTGACATTTTTTTTAGGTCATAAATGTTAAACGAATCACAAAAATAATCAGGCAAACTAATAAACGTTTGTCTATTTTCACCATTTTGAACTGAAAATAGACCACTATATGACGTGACTCATGTAATATAGCCTAATAATTAGTTTACTGTCATTGTGAGGGGACAAGACACATTAACCAGTGTACCCGCGGGATCTTAAAAGCATTAAAAAATAATCTCAAATTAAGGCCTTAAATGTTACCACGCATGCGCCATATCGCGGTGACAGGTCATAGGTCTATGACAGGTCATAGACCTGTCCTCTTAGAGGTCATAGATCCTCTTCTTACTATCATTAATTCGTCTTTGTCTCTAGGATACGTACCAAAAACCTTTAAGCTGGCTATGATAAAACCGCTTGTTAAAAAAACGCAACTTGATCATACAAAATTAGTCAATTACAGGCCGATCTCGAATCTGCCTTTTCTATCAAAGATATTAGAAAAAGCAGTATCCTCACAACTGTGTTCCTTTCTAGAAAGAAATGATATCTGCGAGGATTTTCAGTCAGGATTCAGACCGTACCATAGTACCGAGACTCGTTTATTAATCCGTGGGCACGAATTGTTAAACCGAGGGAACAGTTTAACCCTCAGGTGCTCTTCTTTCGGAGTCACACTTGTTATCTTCCCGGTCAGAAGTGACCGGACACCTAAAAATTAAACTTTCTCCATCCCAGTAAAACCAATGCAATTTATTTTTGTTCAATAATATTTTTTCTTTTTAATTTTGTATTTTGAGATAATTTGATGTTACTTATTAATATTTATGCAATATTTATGGTCCATTTTTGCCATTGAAAATAATACACAAAAAAAAAATTCCTAATTTTTTAAAATATTTTTTCAATTATTGCAGTATTTCAGATTAATACAGAGACCAGACCTTTTAAATCCATTTTTTGAAGTCAGATTAGCGCCATCTGTTGAGAGAAAATAAATAAAACATGTCATTTCATGGTGTAACCACTAGCTTAGCTCTCTATGGAGAGGCTTGTGAATTCTCTAGTTGTTTTTGGACAAAATTACTTACTTTTAAGATGTGGATTTGAATGTATTTTTTTGAAATCCTCAAATAATACTTTTAGCCATGGTTTATAAAAAAAATTGAGATGTGAAGTGTACACGTTTTTGCATTATTACTACAGTCAAACCTGTATACAGAGAAAGCATTTTGTTACAGGTAATATTACAATTCAATAAAAAAATAAAAAAAAATAAACAGTAATGCTTTTTCACAGCTTATTATTATTATTTATATTATTATTGTTATTATTATTATTATTATTTTTAAACATATTCATTTATTATTTTTAAACATTATATTAATTATTATTTTAATAATAATTATATTATATATTATATTATATATATATTAATTATGTTATGTTTTTCACTATTGATGTTTTTTCTGCATTGTGGCCGATTTGTAGAGAGTTTGTGTTTGTCAATTTCCCATTCATTTCCTATGGTCGGTCAAAATTCATTGGTGTGTATGTGTATAAAAAGTGTGTTTGTGTGTGTGTGTGGGTGGGTGAGTGTGTCTGTTTTGCTCTCTTGGTGTTTTAGAGTGTCACCCCTTCATTGTTGAACACTTTTTTTCTGCATCGTGGCCGATTTGTAGATTGTACACACAAAAATTCTCAGACTTTTTGTATTTTTGTCAATTTCCCATTCATTTCCTATGGTCGGTCATTTTTAACCGAAGAGCACAAGTGTGACTATTTTTTTTACGACCACTTAGCCTGCTTGGATCATCCCCTCAAATTTTTTTTGTGTTCAAATACCAAATGCCATAGAATTCACCAAGTTTCGTAACATTCCGATGAAGCTATGATTTTTAACATTTCGAAACAGAAAATGTTTCGGTCAGAAATGACCGAACAGCACCTGAGGAAGAATTCATGAGTACAATTTATAAACTGAGGGGACGGATTGCAAAACCGTATACCGTAAAATACCCATATAGCTAACAAATAAATAAAATATATTTGGAAATCGCCCTTTAAAACGAAGGCTCGGTTTGTGGTTCACAATTATTTGATTAAAAACAACAAAAACAATAAAACAAAGACCACGTCACTTATATTAAACACTTTGTTAATTGTGTTTTTGTATGAAGTTATATTGCGCTTTTAATTGCCTCCGCTGTCGTCCTGTCAATCATTCTCGCGGGTCGCGGCTATGATTACAGTTTCAGTAAAAATGTAGGTCTATCTCACCATCATCGGTACCCACCCTCAGCCGATTGGCATTACAGTATTTGCAATCACAATCCCGTGTCAAAACGGAGCGTATACTGTCTAAAAGAAAAGTTGTGACTGCTGACTGAACATTGGTCAGTGAGCCTCTCCCGCTCGCCGCTGTCAACGCAGCTTCACCAAATAGATTTAACTCCGCACAGCTAAATAAAACGGGCTGGTGGCAGACTAATATTTAATATTTCTGATGTAAAGATTTCTGTGAAACGCATAAAGTTGCACAGAAGAAAGCCCAATAATAGGACCTGCCCAGTACAGTTTAAGAATCTGTAGCCATAGTAGAGGACTGTTATTTTGTTGAACAGACTGGGCCGGGTTTCCCGATAACGATGTATCTTAGAACTTAAGAGCGCTCTCTACGTGCAGGTTTACGAACGCTCGCCGCAATTCCACGCGCGTTTCCCAAAAATGCACTTAACATGAACGCGCGAGAACGTTGCTGTCCATTCGCGAAGTGCTGAAATATAACCTTATATGGAATCGTATTCTGAACGTTTAACCTAATAATCGTCATTTGTTGTGGATTAGAAATCAAGACAAGTCTATATGGATATAAAACACCTATACAGGCTGACAAAATGGCTGAACAAAAACAAACAAAAAACAAGAGAAGAGACCTTTCAAAAAGATAAAATTAATGTCCTTTTAGAGGAGATAGAGGGAAACAAAGATTTTATTTTTAACAGATTTAAAGGACACCATACAAATAAGGAAAAACAAAACATCTGGAAGGACATTGTCACATTGCAAACTATCTACAACCGTGTTCAAAGATCAGGGAAGGAGGTCCGCAAGAAATGCCCAATACATGGCTGGTTTTCGTGCATGTCAGCAAGTCATTGACAGATTTTTTTGAATTCATTCCTATTTTGCCCGGTCTTTAAAGCATATTTCCCAGATTACTTATTTTATGATTTTTTGTTTTTTGTTCATTCGTTTAATTTAGATGTGTATTTCTATTTTTTTCTTCCCTTTTTAATTATTTCATTTATTCATTTTGAACAAAACACGAGTACAACAAAGTGTACAATAAAGTACAATCAAAACCTTATATTATACTCACGTTGCAGTGTAATCTGTTAAATCTAGATAAAAGTGTAATCTGCCGGTTGTCCTGCAGGTGACCTCATAACTCTGTCTTCTTACAATGCTTGGGGATTTACGATTACTCCAGAGCACTCGTAGGTTAATGTTAGGCTACTACTTTACTACCGTATTTGAGGCCAGAGAATAATAGGCGAAAATTTGGATTTCCTGCCTGGCATACTGTAATTACAACATGGACCAGCTACTGTGACTTCACCACTCACTTCCTGTGGAGTTTTTTTTTTCTGGAACTAACCGACTAATTAAAATTTGGTCGGCTAAGCCTCTTCTTGTCGACTTTTAATCGTTTTAACCGTTTTAACCGTTTAATCAGCTATTAGGGGACAGCCCTATACGCTCATAAATGTACCTCCAGTTTATGGGTGACCACACTGAGGGTAGTAGGGTCCAGGTTGGAAACAGACAGCACTTCACTGAGCTGGGCTTCCTTCTTTTCCAGCGTGTCATTGAGTGCACTCAGTTTGCACTCCAGCAGCAGGTTTTTGAAGCCACTTTTCTGCTGAACTTCCAGGATGGCTTTAGTGAACTTCATGTACAATTCATATCGCTCCAACTGAACCTGCACAACAATCAAACAATCTTTAGCTCTTACACATGCAGCAGTCCTAATGAATCACTATGAACAGATAAAAACTTTAAGAGACAACTGTTATCCAGTATAGTAATGTTGTAGAAAAATACAATAAAAACAAAAAATACAATTAATAATTACTTGGCTGATATGTATTACAGTGTGTACACCAAACAGAGATTCTTGTTATGCCATGGCAGACTGTTATCAAGATGAAGAGGAAACCTGTTTTTCCCCCCTTGTAAGTTGTCATAACACCATTAAGGCTGATAGTTCAGTGTGTTTAAAAGGGATACTCCACTTTTTTTGGAAATAGGCTCATTTTACAACTGTTGTACATTTATCGTCTTATAGACTAGGAATGACGATGAGAGACGCTGCTTCGTTTAGACGTTTAATGAAAAAGAAACAAAGATAAATACAGCGTGCTTGTTCAGCAAATCGTTCACAAAAAATGGCCGTTGCCAAAATCACCAAACATAAACAAACTTCACGTGAATCACGTGCCTTTCACCATTGCTCAATGCATCTTGGGAAATGAAGTCAATTCACAAATAATAATTACACATGAATGTTTTTGACCACATATGTATCTGAAACATGAACTGTTAATCTTAGTGTTGTGTATTAAATGTTAACTTATTAATTTTAACTTAGTAATCTTAACTTTCGTAACTATTCTTTTAAATAGTCTTCTAACAAATAAATTCTCAACATCCTCCCCCCCATAAACTACAGTTTATATAATTTCCAAAGGATACAAAAGCTGGATGGGTCTTCGCAGAACAGTCCCTGAACTCGTGCGAACTGCACATGACCTCACAAGTCCATCACGACCTGGAAACAATTCCTCAATTCTTCCTAGCTTCCAGCTTTGTCTTGGGGTGTTATCTTCTCCGATGAGTGCAACATCTCCGACCTTCAGCAGAGAAGACCGTGGGGTGTCGCAGCGATGAGCCGACTTCAAATCCAGCAAATATTCTCTCCGCCATCGGTTCCAGATGTTGGTCATAAGTCTTTGTCGGTAGCGCCACCTCCTGTTCATCTCCTCCTTGTTCGCTGTTGGATGGTTAGTCTCAGCTGGACATGGCTTAGAAGGCAAGCAGCTCAGTCTCTGGCCCACCAAGAAATGAGCAGGTGTTAGTGGCTCTGGCTCGTCCACATCATTGTGCACATAAGTGAGCGGCCTCGAGTTTATTATGGCTTCAGCTTCAGTCAGAATGGTGCACATTTCTTCAAAGTTGAGTTTAGCTCTGCCTAGCACTTTTCTGAGAATAATTTTGACTGACCTTACCAGCCGCTCCCAGAATCCGCCCCACCAGGCTGCTCTTTCCGCGATGAACCGCCAGGTGATGCCCTTCTCAGAGAAGAACTCCCGTAGCTGTGGATCTTTAATGCCTTTCCAGAGCTCCTTCAAATCTTGATCCGCTCTCTTGAACGTCTTGGCGTTATCTGAATAAATCACCTTACATAATCCTCTTCTCGAGATGAATCTTTTCAACGCTAGCAAGAAGTTCTCTGTAGACATATCCGAGACCAGCTCTAAGTGCACCGCTCTGGTTACAGCGCAAGTGAACAGTGCTATATACGCTTTTGTCATGACGTTCTGTGTCTTCACATAGAGTGGCCCTGCGAAGTCCACACCAGTGATCTCAAATGGCGGTGACTCTGTTATTCTGTCTCTTGGCAGTGGCGCGGTAGTCTGCTGCCCAGCCTTTGCCTTGAATTTCTTGCAGAGTGCACACATCTGGACACAACCTTCTTCACTACCTGTCGTGCCCTCAAAACCCAGTATTTCTCTCTTATCTGCACTAAAGTGTCTCGTACACCCGCATGCATTATCTTTTCATGTTCATACTGCACCAACATTTCTGTGTATCGGTGGTTGTTGGGCAAAATCCATGGGTGCTTTTCTCTGTAAGAGAGATCAGAATGCTGGAGCCTTCCTCCCACACTGAGCAGCTCCTCTTCATCCAGAAATGGTTTTAGCTCTCGGATTCTGGAGTCAGTGTGGGGACATTTCCCTGCTTTCAGCAAATCAATTTCAGAGCTGAAACTCTGGTTCTGAATCACCTTTATCCAGTTTTTCCCTGCTTCATTCAGCTCTTCTGCCGTCAGTTCACCACTGATTTTTGTGCTTGAGCGGGTGTTGTAGATAAACCTCTTTATCCAGGCTGTCACCCGGAGCACTGTTTTTAGTTTGCTGTACCTCTCCAGACATAAAAGAGGGCTTAAGAAGTCTTGGTCTTGCTTAACAAACTGTACAGCAATCTGGTATTTGGATCTGAGTTCAGACCTTACCTCATCTTCCTGAACATCTTCCTGAGTGCTCTCTAACTGATCAGGTGACATCAGAACACAAGGACCATTCCACCACAATGTGCTCTGCTTCAGGTCCTGCACAGTTAGGCCTCTGGTGGGGAGGTCAGCTGGATTCAATTTCCCTTTGCAGTGAGACCATGACTGTGGGTCAGTCAGAGACTGGATTTCTGTGACTCTATTTGCTACAAACTGCTTCCACTTATGAGCAGAACCACAAATCCAATGCAGCACTATCATTGAGTCTGTCCATAGTCTGAGTTGTGTCTTGTCTAGCTGCAGTGCTTTCATGAGGGTGTTCCCCAGCCTGGCTGCTATTACAGCACCCATTAGCTCCAGGCGTGGCAGTGTCATCCTTTTGAGTGGAGCCACTCTGGACTTGGATGCAACCAGGCTTATAGTCACTTCTCCCTCCTTTGTTTCTCCTTGAAGATAAGCAACTGCACTATACGCCCTTTCACTCGAGTCACAGAACACATGTAGCTTTAACTCTTGACCGTCCTGCTGTGGTATGTGTGTTTGATACCATCGTGGAATTGAGACCTGATGCAGTTGAGGGAGCTCTGAGCACCACTGTTGCCATTTCTTTGTCAGATCAGGTGGCAGTTCCTCGTCCCACTTGAGCCCTCTCTCCCACATCTCTTGGAACAAACACTTAATCCTGATAGTGTAAGGGGTCAGGAATCCTAGAGGGTCAAAAATGCGAGCAGAAGACTGCAGAACACTTCGTTTTGTGTTTTCTCTTTCTTTCAGAATATCAAGCAGCCCCCTGAGGTCGAACACAAAATCATCAGTGGCCGGTCTCCACACCATACCCAGCACCTTCAGCGCAGACCCGTGTGATTCTGGTTGCACAGCACAATCCATCAAGCTTTTCTGCCATTTTTCTTTGAGCTCAGGAGAGTTTGTCATCCATTTACATAGCTCCATGCCTGCAGCAGACATAATGTTCCTGGCTGTCGTTGTCACTGTATGTGCCTTGGTCACCTCACTTGCACTTGAAATAAAATCATCGACGTAGAGTGAGGAGCTAAGGACTTCTACCACATGTGGGTGTTCTAGCTCATACTGTCTTAAATGCTTCCTAATGGTGGCTGCGAGTAAGAATGGGCTTGATGAAGCTCCGAACACCACTCTTGTCATTCTGAGCATGCGCAGCGTCAGGTCCTTCTCCTCTGTTGGCGGTCCCATGAACCACAGAAATCTTACAGCGTCCCGATCTCTTTCTGAGAGTGAAATCTGCAGAAATGCTTTTTTGATATCTGCCATATATGCGATTTCATGCAGTCTAAATTTGATCAAAATACTCATCAGATCTGGATTCAGATTGGGACCTGTTAAGAGACAGTCATTTAGTGAGGGACTTTTATTTTCGTGGGAGGACGCATCAAACACAACCCGCAGTTTTGTTGTCGCCTTATCCTCTCTCAATACCGCGTGATGAGGTAAGTAATATGTCTGACTGCCTTGGGACGATGCATGCTCCCTTGGCACGTCCTCTGCCATTCCTTGTTTTAAGTAGTCCTCCACAACTTCATTGTATCTGCTGTAGAGTGTGACATCCTTGCTAAGTTTCCTTTTCAAACTCTCAAGTCTCTTTTTTGCGATGCGGTAATTGTCTTGAAGTGGAGGATGATGTTGTCGCCATGGCAACTCCACTTGGTAACGCCCATCCTTGAAGATGGAGGTTTCCTCGAACCGCCGCAACGCTTCTACATCCTCTGGGCTCTCAGACTTCTCACTTGTGATGCCCAGGGACTCAAGCTCCCAGAATGCATGCAGCTGTTTATCAATCTGTGCATCCTCGCTGAGCTGAATATGCATGCAGGTCGTCTCTGTCATGCTGGACACTGCTACTGGGCCTTGCACTGCCCATCCGAAAGTGCTCTCCAGTGCCACTAGGCTCTTTGTCAGTCTCTCTACTCTGCCTGATACTATCTGCCAGTAATAATCAGAGCCAATTAGCACAGAAAGTTCAGGTTTATCATCTCCAGCACAGTCTGCTAGTTGAAGACCTCTGCTTTTCATTTCTCTTTGTATGTGTTCACCAGGCACTTTCATCAGCGCTGTGCACACTTTGGGGGTGACAACTGCCTCGATTTCGATTCCCTGCTGATTATCCCATACATTCTCCAAGCTGAGCTTCACTATATTGCGACTCACCGTTGTTGGAGCAGAGGAGCCAAATGTGTGAAGCGTGAGTGTCCCTTTCCTCGTAACAGGTAGCTGCAGCGCCTTCACCACATTCTCATGCACAAAACTCCCCTGACTACCTCCATCTAGCAAGCAGCGGACCATCTTCCTGCTTGTGGGTCCTACAACCCATGCCTTGGCAGTTTGTAGCAGCACAGTGTTCTCAATGTCAGGTTTGTCTTTCTCCGCTTGGGGAATTACTGAGGAAATAACAATGTTGTCAATGTTAGCAACCGCAGCAGGTGGAGATGTCTCATTTTTCTCACAAATGGCTGCATGATGCCTGCCTCCACATGTGGCACATGACATGCCCTTTGACCTGCAAAACCTGGCTATGTGTTTGGTCCCCAGACACACAAAGCACCTGCCAAGCTTCTTCAGTTTTTCCTTGCGTGCTGACACCGTGTGGTCTGGACATTTTTCAGATTTGTGTTCAGTGCTATCACAGAACAGGCAGTTTCGCATTTTCTGGTCAGCAATGTGTAGTGCAGCTGCAGATGTCATGCTTGGTTTCTTTAATTTCACATCACTGGATGAATATGATTTCCCGCATGTTTTGTTAGGAGACTGGGTTTCTCTCTGGTTGTATGATTTCATCATTTGTAAAGTTCTCTCTCGGCTCTGAACCTCTTTCTGCAGGAACTTCAACACATTAGGCACATTCCACTCATCGTCATCTCCTCTGTGACGGCTGTATTCAAGAGCCATGTCGTCTGGCATCATCTGGAGTAAAATTGGGCACAACATATCGCCATAGGTGTCTGATACCACTCCCAATGACTCTAGGCTTCTGATTTGAATTTCACAGTCATCATATAACTGCCTTAATGCACTGACATCGGATGATTTCTTTACAGGAGTGAGATTCAGAAGCTTTGACATGTGAGCATTTACAATGAGATCTTTCCTTCCAAATCTGCTTTGGAGAATATCAATTGCAGCATCATAGTTACTGTCTGTCAGTGTAAGCCCTGCTACTGCCTTTGCAGCCGTTCCAGAAAGATAAGTTTTCAGGTAGGTAAACTTTTCTTTTTTGCAAAGTGCATTGTTGCTATGAATAGCAGTCTCATACTGGCTCCAAAATTCCTGCCATACACTAACATCTCCGCTAAACTTATCAATTTGTAGCTTAGGCAGTCTCACTGTTGGTTTGTTTGCACTACCATCGCTTGACTGAGCAGGCCGTGGGTTACTCACAGTCTCATGTTCTCGGATCACTCGGTGAGCTCGCGCTTTCATCTCGATGACGCGGTCTCTGTATTCCTCTGCGAGTTCAATCTCCGCATCCACGTCCTCCAGCGTAGTGTGTTCCTCCACTATGCTGTCCAGCAAACTGTCCTCCTTTGCTGACAACACGGCTAACATGTCCCGCACACGGTCGATATCCTTGTCTCCCTTTAATAATTCGACGTCGATCTGGTTTAGCAGTCTCGTTGTAGAACTCCGTATCGTCCGACGCTTTCTTTTGGACCTTTCAAGTTGTTCCATACCGACCGGTCGCTCTCCGTGGTCTTCGTCACTCATAATCTTCTGTTTCCCGGGTTTCCGGCACCAAAAATGTTGTACATTTATCGTCTTATAGACTAGGAATGACGATGAGAGACGCTGCTTCGTTTAGACGTTTAATGAAAAAGAAACAAAGATAAATACAGCGTGCTTGTTCAGCAAATCGTTCACAAAAAATGGCCGTTGCCAAAATCACCAAACATAAACAAACTTCACGTGAATCACGTGCCTTTCACCATTGCTCAATGCATCTTGGGAAATGAAGTCAATTCACAAATAATAATTACACATGAATGTTTTTGACCACATATGTATCTGAAACATGAACTGTTAATCTTAGTGTTGTGTATTAAATGTTAACTTATTAATTTTAACTTAGTAATCTTAACTTTCGTAACTATTCTTTTAAATAGTCTTCTAACAAATAAATTCTCAACAACAACTCCCTCAGAGTTAAACTGTTGAGTTTTACCGTTTTTGAATCCATTCAGCCGATCTCCGGTTCTGACGGTACCACTTTTAGCATAGCTTAGCATACATCATTGAAGTGGACAAGACCATTAGCAGTTCTCAAACAAAAATCACCAAAGAGTTTCGATATTTTTCCTATTTAAAACTTGACTCTTCTGTAGTTACATCGTGCACTAAGACCGACGGAAAATGTAAAGTTGCTATTTTCTAGGCTGATATGGCTAGGAACTTTACTCTCATTCCTGCGTAGTAATCAAGAAACTTTACTGCCGTACCATGAGTGCAGCAGGCGTAATGATATGACGCAGCGCCTGAAAATAGTTCCGTTGTGTTGACGGAAGGTGGCCTATTTTCAGGCGCTGCGTCATATCATTACGCCTGCTGCTCTCATGGTACGGCAGTGAAGTTTCTTGATTACTACGCAGGAATGAGAGTATAGTTCCTAGCCATATCAGCCTAAAAAATCGCAACTTTACATTTTCCGTCGGTGTTAGTGCACGATGTAACTACAGAAGAGTCAAGTTTTAAATAGGAAAAATGTCGAAACTCTTTGGTGATTTTTGTTTGAGAACTGCTAATGGTCTTGTCCACTTCAATGATGTATGCTAAGCTATGCTAAAAGTGGTACCGTCAGAACCGGAGATCGGCTGAATGGATTCAAAAACGGTAAAACTCAACAGTTTAACTCTGGGGGAGTTGTAAAATGAGCCTATTTCCAAAAAAAGTGGAGTATCCCTTTAAAGGTCTGATGCTGTTCCTCCAATCACCTTAGTAAATCTCTGCTCCAACATGCTCCCACTTAAGCTCCTTCAATTCTCTGTCAAATATTTTGAGACGAGCTCTCGTTCTCTGACAGCAGAACACAAAGAACAAGATTTATATACATTACTAAAATTAATTAAAACTTTTGTTATAATTAACATTTAACATTATGCCACAGTTCAGTGTCAGTACAATCCACTAGAATTACTAAATCTACTAAGACCCTGAACATACAGTTAGAGCACTCTTGTCCTTCTCATAGTTGGCAAGCTGTTTCTGAAGCTCTGCGACTTCCTCTTTGGCCTTTTGTGGAGACTCTCTAAGCTCCTTATTCTGCTCAAGCACTTCCGCCATCTCTTTATTTCTTTTCTCCTCCTTCCTTTTCATGTCCTTTAACTCTTCCTGCACACATTCCACCAGAAGAGAAAATAAATAAGAACTGACAAATAATCACTTACTGTACCTCAGCTGGTAGCATGAGACCAAGGAACAAACATACTTACATACATACACTGTAGTATTATACTTTTTTTATAGTTTGATTGCCACATGCATAAATATAGATTTAATAATTGTGAAGATACAATGATGACTATGAATAAAGTTACTAAAAACAGATCTATGAGAGACACTGTTATTTGATTTATAATTAATACGGAGAAAACAAATGTATGTATGTGTTCACGTGTGCGTTTTCACCTTGAGTGAAGTGATAAAGTCCAGATTTTTGTAGACTATGTCATTGAAGTAGTTTCTGATGTCTCTGAAAGCTTTCTCATGATTCTTCATAAGCATGTTGATGTGGCTGTTCTTTTGCTCCTCGTTCTCATGAATCTCCGTCTTGCGTCTTAGTTCTTCCTCCTGACGCAGCTTCTGCATCCTTTTCTCATATTTGGATCCAATTTCTGTGACAATATTTTCACTCTCATGTTAAATCATTAAAGCAAGCCTTCACTGCCTCTAAAACTCTTTACATTCCATTCCATTTTATTTTATGACACATTATACTGTGTTATACAGGCAGTATGTATTTAACTAAGAATATTTGTTATTCATCAACAAATTACTTCTGTAGACTTGGAATTAAGCCTTTTCCCCGTTATTATTTAATTCACGGGACCAGACACCAGTTATCTTGCCAAGAAAGATTTTTATTCTTATATGTCAGGAGAGAAACTCTGAGAAGATGTTATATTCATGCCAGGTCTATGCGTTTCGTGTTTCTCCTTCCTCTCACCCAGTCATGCCTCCATGTTTCTCTGCTGTAGTACAGTAAGATTGAGTTTTTATACATCACAGAGAGTCTTACAGCTTCCTTGTAAGGTAACAAAACATATTGCTTATGCTTAAAATGAAATGTATATGCACATGGTACAATCCACTTTCCACATTAAGAAACTATTTCTCAGTGTATACATTAGTGGTATACAAATGGTACATTTGCATCAGTTGAAACATTCATTTTCTTGCAAAGAGCATACCAACTGTACACATTTGAAGTATATTCATCATTGGAACTCTCTGCTAAGTGAACATTACATACCTCTAAGCAGAATACATAATCCTCCCAGCTACCCTCCTTGTGTCTAAAATATGTTCCTTAAACACATGTGTCCATGCAATCTATAGTCTACTCATGCATTTTAAACTTCATAAGATAATACAACTTATTATGAATACTAAATAAAGAATAATAATACAGATACATAATATTAATTAATGAAATTATATTCAAAGATGAAATTTTAGTCTTCATCTCCCTCCACTGGAACTACGGCCGTCAGTTCCACACCATCATCCCCAGGTGGCCAACCTATTGAAGTGATAGTGAGGAGAAGAAATAGCAGACCAAGAAATAGACAAAGGATAGAAGAATAGAAACAGAAAGGAAAACGAAAAACCCAACCCATGTTATGTCCCCGCATACTATGTGTAATTTAACGTCTATGTGTAAGCATTTAAAATGAACCCCAATCATCTAAGAAAAGAAAAAGTAATAAATCTTCTGCCCGTGCCTGAACTCGTTAAGTAATTAACTCCTTCAGTTCCGTGCTAAAATAATAAACAAAAATAAATGTTGATGTTAAAGGATCCTATCCCTTAGGGTTGTAAATCAGTAAGCGGGTGTTCATTGTTTGTGAGGTTGTGTTTCGTAGTGTAGAATGTGTAAAATCTCCTATTTCACTCCGTACATCCCATTCTCGGTTCTATCCTTTTGGTTAATAATATTCAACTTAACAGGTTTGGTACTCTTCCTTCTAGTAACACATATGATGAGTTGTATTGTTAACAGAAACAGCAAAACACCTACCATAGTCAAAACTATCCATTCCGACCATGATAGATTTCCCGGAATTTGTGTTAATTTTTTCTCAGACATCAATTTAGCTATTCCGTTTGCTACGATAACATGACCCATTGCTTGAATTCCCTCCTCTTGAGCTGCTTTAACACTCTTTTTAACTCTTCTAACCATTTCAAAGAGTTCATAATTCCTTTCTTCTACTAAATCATTATTCCACCATTGTGGCTCTAACTGCAACAATTGCACATGTGGAACATGAATTCCACCCAAGTGAAGAGGATAGAGAATCTCAAGACAAAATGGATCAGGAGGAATTGGACACAACTTCCCTCCGTATATCATATTTTCACTTTTCCCATCATGTAATATGCACCACTGTGCTTCTGACACCTGCCATGCACCTGTGGCTTGATCTAAAGGAACTACTTCCCAAACTGCAGAACCATTAAGAGATAGACTAAACATTGTAGAGCATGAGCAAATTACCCACTCATGTTCCTCAACACAACAGTCTGTGGTTGAAATCATCGGCATTTCACCTTCAGCCCAATATCCATTCCTTCCTAATCTAATTACTGAATTTCCTTGTCTAACACCCATTGATTGGAATCGCCTAACTGTCATAATATTGCGCTTCCCATATTGAGGCCATATCATAGTCAAAGGTAATGTTCCAGAACCTGACAACGAATTCTCATTAATGCCAATTTTAACTAACGGGACATGTTTAGCAGAAGTCAAATTAAGTTGATTACCGAAAACCATTAACAAAGATTCCGCTATCCGTTCAGGAACTTGACCCATTCGAATAACCTGAATATCCTCTACCATTTGATCCTTTAAATTCTGGGCTAAAAATAAACACGCCGCACGATGTGTCTCAAAATCAGACGATTTTGTTAATGCATCTGCCAATTCCTTTGCAGCATTATTAAGATGCTGACCCGCTGCTATAATATGTAGAGTACCTTGAAGGGCCTTAGTGAGTCCTTTCCCACTCATTGTTCCCACCCACTGAGTGTACTCACTTAGTTGATTAATTTGAGCGGTATTGCTAATTGAATTAACAGAACCAAACACCCCCGCTATGTCTCCCCATATACTTCGAGGTTTACGATTTTTACTACTCAGAGGATCTCCAGAGGTATAATATTTAACTTCTTTTTCCAACCAACCCCTTATTTGTGTGAAATTTCCACAATAAGACTGATCAAAAACAGTAAGAAGGGATTTCAAGTTATAATTTATGCGTTGCCGCACCATGTGGGCTTCATTTATCAAGGTTTTGGTTTTTTTTGCTAACAAAATACCATGAGCTGGTGCAATAGTTGTATTTGGGCATGTTTTAGCTTTGTTTGTCTTTTCCGCAGAAAGATAAAAACACCTTCCAATTTCCCCAGTTTCTAGTTCAGTCTCACAATATTCATTCTCATCTTCTGAATGCCATACTCGTACATAATTTCCCTTGAATCTTGTTGTCCCCGAGGAAGTATCCCTTAGAAACCCTTCACATGGCAACACTATGGGATAAATACACCCTTGGGCCAACGAATCCCATATTGTAAGCATGTGAGTACGATTCAGAATGAAATTAATTTCCACATTAGTAGACGTTATGAGGTCTAACCCCACAACTTCACATTGTCCTTTTGAACAAATTTCTCGTCTTTGAGCACTACCAGAATACCCCCCGTCTTTCACAGGCCAAATTACTCTGCTTTTGTAACATTGATGATAAAAGTTACATCCTCCAAAGATGTCCTCACGATATTTAGCAAAATCTTTATCATTACGTGGCACCCAATCCCATAATCCCCATTTGGAAATAAAGGGTAGATTAAAATGTTGGCCAGATTTCAGAGTAGCATTCCGATTGATTTCTTGAACTCGAGGAGTCCATAAAGCTTGGCTTCCTTGGTAAATGCCAAGTAAAATTAAAAATAAGCATACCATTGTCGTTGGGTATCGAGAATAACTTGCAACCATCTCTAATCAATGTCAATGGAATTGATTCCTGAAATGGAAGCAGAGAAATAATTAAACATCACTTCTTTGTTCCCAATCTTTAAAGCTAATGGATGAACAGTGCTCAATATCAGGCCATAAGCCGTCATTATCATTTTGTTCATTCACTAAGCAAGGTTTAACTTGTGACCAATGATACCATCTGTCTGTTCCTACACCCTTCCCTTTAAGACAAACACTTGTGTCAGTAGTTAGGAGTATCTCGTATGGTCCTTCCCATCTAGGCTCTAAACCTTTCCTAGCAATTCGTTTGATCATAACAAAACTGCCTAACTCGGGAATGTGTGGAATGTCAGTAGTGGTGTGTTTTTCATCCCATTGCTGTTGAGCTTCTCGCACTTTCTTGTTATTGTCTTTAGTAGCTTTGTCCAGCATTGCGAGATAGCGTCGTAACTTTTCTTGGAACAAAGTAGAGTCTCCTCCTGTTCCCGCAGGTGGCGGAGCATCAGGAGGTAGAACCATTGCTCTTCCAGTCATTAGTTCAAAAGGGGTTAGTCCTGTAACTCGGTTTGGAGTTGCTCTCAAGTTCCACAGAATAGCAGGTAATAACTTATGCCAACCTTGACCAGTTTGCAGAATGGCTTTGGTAAGTGCGGTTTTCAATGATCGATTCATTCTCTCTACCATGCCCGAGCTTTCTGGCCTATAGGGAATGTGGAATTTCTGTTTAATTCCCATCAATTTCATTGCTTCCTTCATCAATTTTCCAGTGAAATGAGTTCCATTGTCAGAATCAAGTTCATATGGAAGACCCCAGCGAGGAAAAACTTCTTCCACCATTACTCGTGCTGCCGCTTCAGCAGTGCAAGTTTTTGTAGGGAATGCTTCCACCCATCTAGTAAATCTGTCCATGATTACAAGTATGTATTGATACCCTCCACTGGGTGATAAAGGTCCTGTGAAATCGATTTGGAGATGTGTCCATGGACCTGTTGGTCTGGGTGCATGTGACATTCGCACCTTTACAGATTTTCCCACATTTGCTTTCATGCAGATCAAGCATCTCCTACAGTAATCATCAATGTCTCTCATCATTCGTGGCCACCACCAAGTCTCGCTGATTTGAGCTTTCATTGCTTTTGCTCCAGCATGCACTTTTCCATGATACAGCTGCATCAGTTCTCTTCTTGTTCCGATAGGCATCACCACTTGTCCTGTTGGAATTCTCCAGATACCTTGATCATCTTCTTTCGCTCCTGCTTTTATCCATTGCTCTTTCTCTTCATCTGTCTCCATTTGATATGACAGAAGATGGAGCTCAGGATTATCTTTGCTGTTTTCCTTTACCAAGGTAACAGGAGTAAGAGGAAGTAGAGCTGCTTCTCTAGCCGCTGCATCTGCTGCCGTGTTTCCTTGACTTTCTTTGGACTTGTCAGATTGATGTGATTTTACTTTGATCACGGCTGCTTCTCTGGGTAAGTGACATGGTGTAATCAAACGGCGAATTATGGAAGCATGTTGTATTTCGCTCCCACTGCTGGTGATAAGTCCACGTCTTTTCCACAGAGCTAGGTAGTCATGGACCACCCCAAAAGCATAACGACTATCTGTATAGATGTTAACTCGATCTCCTTCCGATAGTTCAAAAGCTTCCGTAAGTGCTATGAGCTCAGCTACTTGTGCTGAAAATTGCCCAG